GGAGCTCCAAGTCTGGGATAGGGTATCATTTTTAGCCCATTTAAGTAGTATCTAAGATAAAAACTATTATTTAGAAACTATAGGGTTTTTTTCATGGACATACTGTAAGCTTTCTAATGTTAACATTATTGTAATTTATAGACCATATGAAAAAGGGCATGGCTATCATAACAACTTAGTTTATAGGATTTTTATTGTATAATTCCTACCGGTTGAAACAGTGCATTACAATGAATGAGATCTGAAAGTTTGAATGCCCTTTACATTTAAGGACCAGAAATTACAGGTGTTTGAAATTGTAAAGGTTTGAGTGAAACTCCTCCAGTTAAATAGTTAAGATATATACTCCTTCTTACGGTGAAAACAAAAATTTGGACCATTGAATGTGCTCATTTCCCTGTCTTCTGCTTGTTTTTCATATGGTTCAATAATTTTTATTTACATTTCAAATTGTAAATCTGTGAAAACATCCAGTACAGACTGGGCTATAGAAATAAATGACAATAATGATTATATTTGATTAATTAACATAATAGGTGATGTGATGGTTTGTGACAATTGCTTTGATATTTTTTTCCTTGATATTTATTTTCCCAAGGCAACACGCTTAGCTGGATTGATTGTACAACTTGTACAATGCCATGACTATCAGGTTCATTCTTTATTCCTGCACAGCCCCTGTGAATAAAAAAGCAGATCTAAACAGAAAAATGTTCTTTTGAATATTAAATAAAGTAGCAACTTAATACCAGTCATACCATTCTCCACAAGTTACACATTCAATCATGTTAGTCTGCTTTGATATTTTACAGTGATTACACTTCCAACTGTCTTTGAGCTCATTCACAAAATGCCAGGAAAAATAAAAAAAGATCATATTAAAAACATTTCTCAAGCATATATTTGATAAAAAGTCACAATTTTGCTCAAATACAAATATATGGGTGTGTAAACCTGATTTCTGAAGATCTTTGCCATGTTTCTTCTTGGAAATGGTGTTTTTTATTGTATGGGACAGCTTATCCGTTGGGATCCGTTGGTTCATTAGAATGTCAGTAGATAAACAGGAAACCCGGCAAATTAGAATATATTAGTCAGCTCCAGACCTTTCTCGGCCAAAAACATGTCGGAGCCATTCCGATTGCCATTCCTGTATTTAGGCGCAAGTTTCATACTCTCAAAAGTGGGCGTCCATTGATAGAGCCACGTGCACGTGTCTTCTGTACATATAGTTGGGCTTTCTGTGTTGGCCGCTCTCGGCGCGGCCGTGACCGCTCTCGGCTGATGACCGCTCTCGGCCAGTAAATTCCAAATTCGAAAATCAAAAATCAAAAACGAAAGATGAAATGCGTAAACTAAAAAAAAGAAAATCGTAAATTGAATTCGTAGTATGCACTTGATAAGTTTCGGAAATTGAATTTGTATTTTCGAAAATCGAACTTTGTATTTTCGAAAATTGAATTTCTATTTTTGAAAATCGAATTTGTAGTTTTGAACTTGAATATCAAATTCTCAATTTGTAATTCTCAAAATCAAATTCAGAAAATTAATGTTTGAAACTGGAGTTTAAATTGGTGATTT